ACATGTGCGACGAGCTCCAACTGGGCACGTCGGTGCCGGTGCCGGTCGGCATGGAGCGTGCCGTGTGGCTGAGTCTGATTGACAAGCAGTCGAAGCTCCAGAAAGACATTGCCGAGACGCTCCAGCGCTTCCACGGCGACATGTGCGTCTTTGCGATGTTTGATTCGATTGGCGAAGAAAACGCAGACGAGCTCGCGCAGCTCACGAAGCAACTGCTTCTCGAAGGCACGCTGCCGCTCCACGAGCTCAACATGCAAGAAGACATGACGTTGCTCGAGCTCCTCGAGCAAATGAAGGACTCTCGGTGCCGCGACCTTGAAATGTGCATGCACAAGACGCGCGACTTGTACCTCGAGCTCCAGTTTACGACGGCCGATATCACGGCCGTGAGCGACGCGGTCGTCGCCACCTTGTCGTTTCCTTTTTCGCCCGAGAATCTCTTGCAGCGCCTCTTCAACACGGGTACACGAGCCTTGTCGCGAAGCTCTTATGCATTTCGTGTTAGGAGGCTCGATGGACATTTCCAGCCAAGGCCTCTGCTATATGCACACGCTCTGCACGAGGTAGCCGATGCTTTTCTCGACGGCTGAGACGATGGTGTCGTCTCTAGTCTCGACTTGATTCGCCAAGCCCGCTTGGAGGTCCACGATGCGATCCATGCCATGTGGTCCAAGGAAGAGGCGCTCTACAATGCGACCGTGACGCAGAGCCCCAAGCTGGCGCAGCTGCCAATGGCCAAGTCGCCGCCGAAACTGCACCGCCACGAACGCTTTGTCACGAACGCGTCCATGTCGCGGCTCTGCGAGCAGACGGCGCTCTGGGCGCTGCGCGTGCGGCGCATTGTGTGCGGCAACTTGCGCCTCCTCGAGGACGAGCTCGACAGCTTTGGCATTGAAGACGTGCAAGACCGTATGGACTTTCTCGTCGGGTCGCGCGACCGGAGTCTCTTTTTAACCGAGCGGAACCTCTTGGCGCACTACCACCACGAAGCGCAGCCGTACACGACGCTGGACGAAGAACGGCCCGAGACGATGGACCTCTTGCACTCGCTGGACCCGTACCACGACAGTCTGGGAGCCGAGCTCGCGATGGCGCTCCGCCCCGCGCTTCTCGACGACCTGGAAATGGAGTTGGCGTCGTTTCAAAGCGTCCAGACGGTACTCGAGGACGCCAAGGTCCGACTCGACTCGCTGAGCAGCATCATGAAGTGTGTGGCCCAGGTACGTTGTATCGTTGTTTTGTTTCAACTTTGTATCAAGTACGATGTGTAGATTCGCGAGTACAACAAGAAGATCAACGAGTTTGAAGCCGCGGCCAGCGACAGCGACCGGCTCTTGGACCGTCGCGGCAGCTCGCTTCGACTGCTGGAAGAGGAGAAGTTTCGCAAGACGGCGGCCAAGAAGTACCCCCAGTACGACGACACGTTGCTTTGGTCGATCGTCGGCAATCTTATTTGTGTAGGCTGGTGCAAAAGGTGCGGGACGAGGTAGAAAAGTGGACGGACCAGTCGGAGCGCGGGTTTGAACTCGACATTCTCGGCGACGACCTCCAAGCGCTCTTGCGAGACACGATGCAGTACAACACGGAGTTTATGCACCTGAGTCTGATGAAGAACACGCGCACCAAGGTCAAGCGGCTCTCGTAACACCAGCGTTAAAGTATCAACTTGATACATAGATATATATACACGATTAGATAGGAGAGATTAGGTCCAGAGAAAGCCAAAACTCACTTCGAGCATGGACGAAATGCCGCCAAAGCCGGGTAGCATCATGCCGGGGTCGCGGAAGAGGTACTCCTTCGGCGCCTCGGGCGCGTAAAAGAGGGCCGAGTGCGGGACCGACCTCGGGCTCTTCTTGCGGTGCGGTGCGACGACGGCGACGGGCGACGGACTCGCGAGGTCGAGGTCGTCGTCGAGCTCCGTGTCGTCGTCGCTAAAGACGCTAATGGGCCCGTCATCCTCGCTTTGGTTGTCGAGGAGGCTTTTGCGCAAGGCATTGCTACTCCGACGGCCCTTCTCCACAGACGACGACCCTTGCTTCTTGAGCCACTCGATCGTCGTGTTGGCCTACACGAGACGCTCGAATGACATTATATCCAGGTAAGGTCGTCGCACGTCGTGGAGTTGATGGGTGAGGAGCTTGATCTGGTCCCGCAGCTGCTGCACGAGGAGCATCTGCGTGTCGGCGTTCTTGACCGGCGTGTTGGAGATGCACTAAGATGCGCCATCTTAGGACGCGACTCGCTTCATGCACGACTTGGTGTACCTGGGCGCGCGCGGCGTACTGGAGCGTGCTGAGGTTTTCCTCGAAACAGAGATCGCTCGGCGCGAGGCAGACGACCATGATCGTGATGCTGTTGCCACCCAAACTACAACGGAGGAGGATGAGCCACGTATTTGTCTCTTGAAGCGCGTGCCTGTGTTTGAGGAGCGACGTGAGCTTCGAGTCGCGGTACGGCACGTGCGTCTTGGCGAGCGCCGAGTTGCTACTGCTACTGTTGTTGTTGCTCGCTTCGTCACTGAGGATCTGGATGACTTGGCGCAGCACAAAGAGCGACTTGTTGATGCCAATCGACTCTTGCAGCGTCACGCCGCTCGCGCCCGTCTTCATGATGCGCTCCGAGCCGGCCAAGTCGACTGCAAGACATCAGCCGATTGCATCGTTGTGGAAGGCGCGTACCGAGGCAAAACTTGGTCGTCGTGACAACGCTGGGGTTCTCGGCGTCACTCGACTCGATGTAGAGCGTATAAATACAGTGCGAGCGCGACGACGACGCGTTCAAGTTGGTCGTCGCCATGATCTTTTGCTTGATCGCGTCGTGGAAGACGGCCATCATCTAGCATCCACTCCATCATGAGCCGTCCGGTGTCTCGACGAGCGCAGGTCATACGTCGGCGGCCGAGGTGCAGTCGACCATCGTGAGGTCTTCGACGTAAAACTCGTGGTCCGGCGACCAGCGCAAGCGCAGACAGCGGCTACAACCAGATCCATGCGTGAGCCCTTGGCCATCTCGTTGGATTACTTTTGGTTGTGGAGCGTCGGCGCCGGGTTGAGGAGGTCGAGGATCTAGGACCGCCGAGCCGACATGAGTGCTTTGCGTGAGGGCTAGGGTTAGGTCGTACTTGTTCGTTGTAGATTTGGACGCACGAGCACTTGACGCGGTAAGTCTTGTTCTAAGACGACGTTGCACACTGAGCCTGTCTGTAGTGGGACGAGGTCGTCGTACCTGGACCACGGACGCCGTCTCGATCGCGTCGAAGAGGTTGATGATCACGCGCGGGATGATCTGCGCACGAGAGATCGGTGAGTAGGAAGGAGGCACATGGTTGGTCGCAAAGAACGTACGCCGATGCGCGCCGAGCTGACGGCCACGTTGGCTCGCGACTGCACGCGCTCGCGGCTCGCCGTGCTGTTGGAGCGCTGCAGCACAAGGCGTGAGCGACCACAGACGCTGGCAGGATCGAGATCGCATTACCTCGTACGAGTAGCCTTCCATCGTGAACGTCTTCCCGGACCCGGTTTGGCCATACGCAAAGAGGGTCGCGTGGTACCTAATGGCGCACGCATGACGCACGTCGCTCGCAACCTCGAGCGCGTACCCTTCGAGCACGCTCGCGATCGACTGCTGGACGCCGGCGGCCTCGTACATGTCTTCTTGGCTGGACTTGGGCCCGAGGACATGGTCAAAGCGGTACGTCTTCTCGGGCGACGCGTTGTTGAGGCGCAGGCGCACCATGTGGTCGTCCCACTGCAGCGTCCGCGACGAGTGGCTCTTCTCGGACGATAGCTGCGGCCGGACGCGGACTAAGACGCGGATCTACGTGGCAGCCTGAGGTGCCAAGACGGCCATCGGCGGCTCGGTACCTTGCTGTTCATGAGGAAATACCGTCAATGTGCCAGCTATTTCCAGCTGCGACGATCTTCGCTTCCAGTGCGTGACCAACGCCTTTTGCCACCCAAATCGTGGTATCCGGACAATATCCGGAAACCACTCACCGGATACCGCATCGAGTATCCGGCGACCGCGCCCGTTGCGATCCGCGCGCGGGCCTGGCGTGCCCGACCGGCTTCTCGCGCCACAGGCCGTCCAACAGGCTGGAGCAGAGAACGCACGCGACCTATTTCGACTCGGAATGTGGCGTCGTGGGCGTCAAAGGCAGTGGGCGTGCGATGGGTGGTGGTTGTCGAGTTCACGTACCATGTACTAACTGAACTTTGGAAGATGGAGAAAAGGCTGCTGCTCGTCCAAGGCGAGGTGTGATGGAGCGGCCCTCGACAGCGCCAGTCGTGCGACAAGGATGTGGATGGGCGATTTGCACGCAACTGGCGCGTTCGTATCGCAGTAGCTTTCGTGGGCTCCGTACACGCTTCCACGGGACACCGCGTCGAGTACACTGTAGATGAGTCATGTGCGATATCGTATGGAGCGCCAAATCGCCCGTGCGACGGCTTGGTGTCATGGAGGCGACTCGGGCCGAAGCTTGAAGCCGTGTCGCGCCCGCAACGCATTTGCATACTGGAAACAGTACTAGCCGCTGTACATGGTACTATCTAAGATTGTCGCTGGAATAGAAGCACGTCGTGCCCATAGAAGGCGGCGGCCGTCTCTCAAGGTCGCGCGTTGTCGGCGGAGATCGCAATGGTACTTGCAGACTGCAATGGGATTGGCGCGCGCGGCGCCAATCAGCGGTGTGCAATGCGGGCCATTTTAGCCAATCCGACCGCGATGCACGCTGCGCTGGCATAAAAAGCGGCGTGGGAGCTATCACTCCTCAATGCAGCATTCCCGACGACATAGATCGTTGAAGCTGCCGCTGGCGTGCTGCGCGTCGCACACAAGACCGCGGCTGCAGAGAGCGGACGCACTCAGATCGTTGACGTGCACGCTACGTTCGAAAATCTCATATATACACCATTTCGCGAGTTACTCACAGACATGCAATAGTGTGGTCAAAAAGCACGGTATTCGTGTACGACGTGAATTACTGTCATTTTAGAGCTTCGAGAACATGACCGACGACGAGGTGCTCGCCAAGGACCGCGCCGAGCACCCCGAGTGCACCTACGCGACGAGCCTCTCAACCGCCTGCCGCAGCGTCAATGGCGATCGCACGTGCGAGACGATCCGCAAGATCTTTCGCTGCTGCCCGGGCAAACCAAAAGAACTCATCATCAACTCGAGCACCAAGGAAGAAGGCGCCGAGGACAACGACGCTGTCGCTGACGACCCGTTCCGCCACTTTGGCCCTCGCCGACGTGACGGGCCGGCCTCCTCGATGGGCGACGATCCGTTCGAGGCCATGGACGGCCTCTTCCGCGGTATGATGGGCGGCCCGTTCGGAGGCACTTTTGGCGGCTTTGACCAGATGCCCCGACCGCCGCAGCACGAGACGCCGCCGCACCACGGCTACGAACGCCCGCGGGCACCGCGGCGCCAGGCCCCACCGCAGAAAGATGTATTCGACGGCTTTGACGGTCGCGTGGAAGAAATCTAGCCTTCATTATGCCATGTACCTCTGCTGTTTTTGTAGCGTGTCTCTGCTGGGGATCGCAGCCTAGTACAGAGTACACACTCATTATGTGCATCAGCTCAGCGCGACGCTGCCTCTCTTCTCGGTTGCGCGTTGTTGTGGCGGGTAGGACGGTGGCTGCAACGCTGGGAAAACGAAAGACCAAGGTGCGTCGCAGCTGCGTTCTGCGTTCACATTTGCTTGGCCTTTCCAGTGACGCGTGTCGCGACCACTTGGAACTTGACGAAAGCCTCGGGCGACGCTGGCAGCTGCGCCAGGTGGAGTTTTGGTGTGGCATCCTCCGCCAGCAGCCGCCACCAGGCATAGAACTCCGTCTCGGGTGGCTACTGCGCTCTGAATATTTCGCTTCGAGGCAGTGGGCGATGTACTTGCTCCAGCGCTCCTATCGCTGTTGGCAAGAGAAGCTCTGTAGGTTTGTGCTGGGCTTGAATTTTACACCATTGATGTCGAAACGGTTCGAGTTTTATATCACTTAAATAGTGTTTTTGGTAAGTGGGATGTTGCATTGCATGTGATCCTTGCACACTATTTCGACACCATGACATTCGATATTTTGGCGTGCGGCAGTTGATCGTGCTGAGTCCATCTTGCACCTTGTCTGCAAGAGAACCATCAACGTTTGTTGTTGTAGTAAGTAAATATGGAAGCGGCTACCGGGTATCGAAGCGATGCCAACGAGAGATTCGCTTGAGAAACCCAACGACGCAGTTCAGCAGCAAGGAGAGATGATCGTTCAGCTCAGCCGCGAGCTGAGATTCCACGACGGCTCCATTCTACATTCGATCGATACAACATGGAATGAGCAAACCAACCAACGTCCGTTGGAAGCTCTGCGCAGCTCGGCGCCAGTACCGGTATTGGGCAACAACGAGGTCGAGTCCGCCAGCGTGACGAGCAACAATCGCCTCGGTCACGTCTCCTCCACCCGGGAGCTGTCATTGCGCACTGAAAACTTTTCAGTGCGCTACGTCAAGGAAAAGACTTTTCAGTGAAAAGTCTCGTCCTTGACGTCCACCACCCAGTGGATCGGAGCCTGACCAATCAACGAGCTCACCGAACGACGAGCTCACGCAACGACCAGCTCGCAGTCGATACGAAAGTAAGTACAAGCTCATCCACGCTGCATCCAACTCACAGGCGGAGACTTCCACCACGGTGCATCATGACGAGTCACATCATCACGTGCTCCAACGACTCGACGACCGAGCACTGGTACACGGTTGTTTACGGCTTAGGATGGCGTCTCCGCAACGACGACAATATGTCGGCAAGGTTTCTTGGTTGGACTAGACTAGTACGTAGCATCGCATTGTTCTTCTATACTATACTTCTGCAACTGTAAAATCATTCCGCATCGGCTGTGGTCCACGTCAAGACGGACGGCAGCGAGAAGCTCGTGTCGGACGCGCCTTCGTCCTTGATGGCCACGCGCTCGGGCAAAATGCGAAACTTCGTGCAGCGTTTTGAGCGCGGCCGGCCGACGCGCGACGTGACCTTGAGCTTCGTTACGGGCGACGGCGTGCAAAAGCCCATGCGCGGTCGGCTCATCGGCTTGGTCGGCTTGGTCGGCGATGCACACACGATTTGCAGCGTCACGGGTTGCTGCAGCCGCCGACTTAGCGCTTTGGCGAGCTTTTGTCGGCGACGGCGCGACGGCTCGTGCTTGTCCAGCGCCAGCAGCCGCGCCCGGAACGAGGCGGGTTCAAAATGGAGGCCCGGAATGCCACACTGGGAGGCGATCGTGACGTTGTCGGGGCAGTCGTCGATGAGAAGCACGTCGCAGCTCTTGATGGCTTCGTGCAGGATAAAGTAGTTGGCAGGATCTGCCTGCTGGGACTTGCAAGCGGCGAGGCCCGCCGAGACGACGTACGAGACTTTGCTCTTTCGGTCGAGACGCAGGTGATGCGCATCGATACCGGTAAACGCCTCGGCGTCCGATGCGTGGATCGTCCACGAACTGTCGTTGCAGCGAAGGAGGATCTTGTCTAGAAACGATGAGGTCCAAAGCGCTATGTAAAGAAGCGAAGTACCGGCAACAGACGGGTCAAAGCACAGCTGCAAGACCGCTTCAATGAGCTCGCGCTGCGGCGAAAAGGTCACGAGCGCCACGGTGAGTTGGCTCTTCTCGGTCAAGAGCGGGCAGAGGTACCGAAAGTAGGCCCTGCAATATGCGCCATTACGATGGAATCGGCATGAGCTCAAGTCGTGCGTACCGGACGTGGAGCGCAAGGTCGGCGGCCGACTGCGACCACTCGCCGTTGGTGTGCACCTTGACGAATGTCGCATCAAAGTCGATACAGACGAGGCGACAGCCCATTTCAGCGAGCGTCTCGACGGTCTCCTGGGCCAAGCGCGCAGCGACATGGTCGTCTTCCATGTCGTGCTCGTCGTCCGTCTCCAAGACCGGGTCCTCTGCGTAGTACATGGGGGGGTCCATGTGGGGCGAAGCACGGACCTAGTCGTCGCCGGTCCATGAGCCATCGCATGCCATGGCGGAGCGCTACGCCGATGCGTTGCATGCGCAGGCGGCGACAGCCAGGCGCATGCGAGACAGCCATCGCCGGCGAGCAGCTCGGGTCCTATTGTCGTACCGAGGGTCGTCGTCCGCGTCGTCGCCAATGCGAAATTGCGCCCGTACCGTTTGAATATTCGCTTTTCAGCCAATGAACGGGCAGTTGCGGTGATATTTTATTATATAGCTTGGCGACTCTATGTGAAGCGACGAGGACGCTATAAAAATACCTTCGCGCCATACCAGACAAGGAAGTTTGAACCGAGCAGACTGCCGTCGAATACTTTACGAGTGCTACTATCCATCGATCCATCTATCTATCCATTCATCGATCGAGTTGAATGGAGCTCAAGGGAGACCCCATGCTGCGACCGGATTCATGTAAGTCCCGGTAGCGTTGAGTCACAAAAATAAATGCTTGCAGGCGACGACGCCCTCACTGCCGAGCTCGAGCTTCTACCTCGACCCAAAATGCTGCGAAGCAGACTCTCACTTGGTGCCCATGCTTGTCGTCGGTCGTATATTGGTGACGCCGGACTCGGTAGTTCGAGCTCAAACAGTAGACGCTGGCACTACTAGTACTGCACTTCTGCAGTTGTACGCCGGCGGCAGACGAGTCACACACACTACATCGACCTCCATCTCGCAGTGCTATGCATGCGGCTTCATGCGCTGCCACGTCACGCAGCGGAGCAGTCTGATGTGCAGGAGGAAATATTGCTCCAAACTGCCGCCACCATTGGCCATCGCCTCACACTCAGCAACGCGAGCAGCATGCACGAGATAAAAGCCAGCGGCGTATCGTCCAATGCATCCATGACGGACTACTGCATGCCTCTGGCGAAGACTCGAACGCGCAGGAGCTCTTGCTTGATCAACTTCAAGTTTCCGCGGCCTCGTATCCGGATCAAAGTCGGATCAGCATGACGTCGGGCATCACGCGAGGCTTCCTCGGCGCTGTGGGACGGACGCCGTTGATCAAGCTCGGGTCGCTGAGCGCGCTCACGGGCTGCAACATCCTCGCCAAGGCTGAGTTCATGAACCCCGGTGGGTCCGTCAAGGACCGGGCGGCGCTCTACGTGGTCGAGGACCAAGAGAAGGCCGGGCTCCTCTTGCCAGGGGGCACGGTCGTCGAGGGCACGGCCGGCAACACGGGCATTGGCCTTGCCCACGTCTGCGCCGCCAAGGGCTACCACTGCGTCATCTACATGCCGGACACGCAGAGCGCCGAGAAGATCGAGGCGCTGCGCATTCTCGGCGCCGACGTCCGCCCGGTGCCCGCAGTCCCGTTCACCGACCCGCGCAACTACAACCACCAGGCCCGCGCATACGCCGAGAGCGTACCCAACGGTATTGCATCTTCCTAGCGTCTTCCTTCGTGGACATGTATGAGCCTAGCGGTATGGACCAACCAGTTTGACAACGTCGCCAACCGACGCGCCCACTACGAGACGACTGGCCCCGAGATCTTTGCGCAGACGCAAGGCGACGTCGACGCCTTCACGTGCGCCACGGGCACCGGTGGCACGCTCGCAGGTGCGTCCGAATACAGTCGAAGTTGATGCGTAGCATCCTTTCCCAGGCACGGCGCTGTATCTCAAGGAGCGCAAGCCGAGTGTTCGCATCGTGCTGGCCGACCCGCCCGGCAGTGTGCTGTACCGCCACGTGCTCGACAACGTCCTCGAGCGCCAAGGCACGGGCAGCATCACCGAAGGCATCGGCCAAGGGCGCGTGACCGACAACCTCCGCGGTGCGCCGATCGATGACGCGGTGCACATTGAGGACCACCGGTCGATCGAGATGGTGATTTACGACCAAGGTCACCAGCGTTCATCCAAGAGAGTTTTAGGTCTACCGGCTGCTCAAGGACGAAGGAATTTTTGTCGGCGCGTCGTCGGGGCTTAACGTGACGGCGGCCGTCGATGTCGCGAAGGCCATGGGTCCCGGCCACACCATCGTCACGATCCTCTGCGACAGTGCTGCGCGGTACCAGTCTCGGCTCTTCAGCCGCTCGTGGCTCGATGCCAAAGGACTGCTCGAGGCCGTGCCCGTCGACTGCCGTGCGCTCGTGTCGCTGCCGTGATCCCATTACTGGATCTTATCGTCTCGAGTTCTATCGAAAAGGACGAAGCCACTCGTGTTGCAGTGTGTCATCGAGCGACCGCCGGAGCTCCACGGGACGGAGGAGGCCATGCACAAAGTCTTTGGCCGTCGTCGACAGCGTTGGGCTTGCAAACAGTCTACAGACACCATGACATGCCACATCGTTCGGAACGGTCGTGGTACAGTGGGAAAGGCGGACAGTCTTGGTCGCACCAAGCACTGATTTTCGCAAACACGTCCTAGACAGCGCAAGATATGTGATGGACGAATGCACACATTTCGGCAGGTCGTACGTCGCCGTGGAACGGGGTTTGGCCAAGGAGGAGCTCGTACGCAAGGACGCCGAGGCTCCAAATGTCAACTTCGCAGCCGTACTCGCCGCGACACACGATTTCGGGGCCCATGTACTCGGGCGTGCCACAAAACGTCCGGCGACGCGAGTCGGGCGGCGGCGCGTGGGCAGCGAGGCCAAAGTCGGCCACCTTGATGCCACCTTCGGGGCCGAGCAAAAGGTTGTCCGGCTATATCATCAACGGACATGTATCTATGTACCAATTGGGGAAGCGCGTACCTTGATGTCGCGGTGGATCACGTGTCGCTCATGAAGGTACTTGAGCGCGCACGCGACCTGATAAATATAGTGGGCGGCCGTCGCCTCGGGAAACGTGCCCGTTGGTTGGTCGGCCAGAAGCTTCTGGAGCGTGCCCCGGGGCGCGTACTCGAGGATCAAGTACAGGAGCGTGTCGTCGTGAAAGTGGCCGTACAAGCGCAGGATGTTGGGGTGCAACAGGCGCGACTACCCGACCCCACGTGAGTTCCGGCATCCATAAAGTCTTCGATCGTACCTGAATCGCCACCTCCATTTTCAGGCTCTGCATGCCTGCGTCGTCAAGACGGAGCTTGGTCAAGACCTAATGAGGACATGTACGTACTTGAGACCACGGGAATGGAGAGAAAATGTAACCTTGAGTGCGACTTCCTTCTCGGTGGCGGTCCTTTGTCGGGCCAAGTAGACGTAGCCAAATTTGCCAAAGCCAAGCTTCTTGTCTGTAAACTTAAAGTCGTCGCGCGTCCACTTTCTACATGTGGCATCGTTGTACAACATGCTGGATGGAAGAAGGACGTGGATATACCGCGTGCGCTGGGCAAGCATGACCGACGGCGCGTCCAGGGATTGCCGCTCGATGGACGAGCGGCTCAGGGACGTCCGGCGTGCCAAACCTGTAAAGGCTGGACGGCTTTGCCACAGCGAAGGCTGCGCGGTCGACTCGCCACTGCTCGAGCGCGACTCGGGTCGGTTGTCACTGCTCTCGTCTGAATCGCTATCTTGGTGCGTTGCAAGCACGCGGAGAGGGCCGGCACCGAGGTTGGAGACGCGACGATGGTGCGGCATGAGCGGGTTGGCCACGGACGCCCGTCGATCTTCCTCCTGGGTCATGGGCTTGGGTCGAAGCTGATCCATGCTGACACGTCGCTGGATGACGGATGGTGCGGGAGGGGCCACAAAGGACGGGGTTGGTGTGTTTGGTGATGCTACCTTGGGGGGTCCTGTCGTTGACGAGGACGACGACGTTGACAAGCGCTTGCGCTCAAACGACTTGGTCAACGACGTCGATGGCGACGGCGTTGATCCGCTCGAGAGCCGCCGCAATGGCGACGAGATGGCAGCAGATGTTTGCCGGGGCGCGCTTCGGTAGACGTCTGTTGACGAGGAAGATGCGCCCGACGAACGCGAGAACGATCCAGATCTGGCAGGGGCGCCGCTAACAACGGCGGGCAGCGCAGGCTCGGCAACGATGGCCACTGCGACGACGGGCGTTGCATCGTCCTTCGTCTGGCGCACGTTGGCCGAGGGTACGCTCGCCTTCTCGATGGACGGGGCCGGTTGCGCTGTCTTGGACGACTTGGCCACGAGCACCTTGGGTCGCGCTAGCTTCGCTGGCCCGAGATTCCTCGCCGGGACCTGCTTCTTGGACGGAGGAGCGGCCCTACATGGAGCGCGATCCGTGAGGTAGACGCAAGCAGCATATTCGCGTACCGGTTCCGCGCGGCCTCCTCCCGCTTCCGCTTCTGCTCCCTCCACGCCTGGAGCTTGGCCTCCATGTCCAGGGTTCAAAGTCTGGCAATTTTACCGCCACCTTTTTAAATTGCAGACAGACCATACAAACAACGAATGAGTTTGTTTTTTCAATTTTAACCAATCAGCGTTGAGAATGGACCCTTTCGGCAAAGATCAAGCCGCGCTTGGCGCCACGCCGGCGCAAGTCTAGTTAGTCGAGACAGTAGTAGAACCATGGGTCGTGGAGGCTGACGAGGTGGCCTGTGTTCATGGCGATCGAGTCGATTTAGCGTATTAGTCGACTAGACTAGATGGACAACATGTCATTGACAACAGGACAGCTTTGAGGCGCGATTTTGGTGTCAACTTGCAAGTAAAATAGTCGGTCGAGCTCCAACTGCGCCATGATGAAGCTCCAGATCCCATTCCTCGTCACGACAGCGTCCTCGGAAGACGATGAAGTACGCACGTCTCTTCCAGTATCTGACTGTGTACCAACGATGGCGGTAGCACCCGTCAATTCACCTTCAGTCGTCGACGTCGCACGGGTGGCAGTCCTCCAAGTGCGATATATCGACGTCGATACCACGTTAACACAAGCATGCGTAGGCTGTGCGAATACCCGCAGGAGCTCGTGCTCATGGTCAACCACGGCCACGGCGTCCGCGTCTCCAAGGTCCGTCGTTCCTTTGCCGTCCTCGGTGTTTGCATGACGGTTCATCCAGTGCCAAGTGCTCGTGCACCAGACCAAGATTCCGTCCCGCATTGACGTGCAGATCAAACCCCGGCTTGACGCTGCCTTTGCACTGCTGGGGTACGTGGCGCTCGACTCGAACGTCGCGACGCAGTACAACGCCCGCGAGCTCAAGACGATCTTGATCGACCGCGACGTCGCGTACCTCAAGCTCGTGCTGCGCAGCTGCCACCGGAATCGCCTCAACGTCTTTGACCAAGTATGTCCATGGCCCTTGCGTATGCGCATCTTCCAACCATTCGACAGGTCGGTCTTGTCTCGGTGGTGTTGTACGGCCAAACCGCAGTGGACCCGCAGAGCCCCAAGAAACTCAAGGCGACCCTGTCTCTCAACCCCGTGCAACGACCAAGTAGTCGCAACGATGCACACTACGACGGCTTTGCAGTGCCGCACCCAACGCAACGAGGGGTTCGTGTCTCGCTGCGCGAGGTCCTCGACCACCTTCGACGGTCGCGCCAAATGTGCGTCGACGCCCACGACTATGCCCTGGCCAAGACGCTCAAGGGCCACGAAGATACGTGCGCCATGTATGCCCAGTCGCTCCAGCAGCTCCAGAGCCAAAAGTGCACTGTCGTCGCCAACGAGGACTTTGAGGCGGCGACACTTCTCAAACTCGAGATGGACGCAGTGCTAAGCAACGTCGCGGGCCTCTTGGCAATGGCGCTGAGCGCTGTGCCCGACACCCCCGCCCTCCCAAGCCCCAAACGGACGACGACCATGCCGGCGTTGGTGACCCGCCGCCCGGAAACGAACGCCACGCGCCCCCTCTCGGCGATTGAAAAGACACAAGACGCCGAGCCACTGCCACCAGACTTTCTCACCGTGTGTGCTATTGGTGCTAAAACCTTTGTACGACATGTTGGGTAGGCGTCCGAGGCGATTCTTGCGGCCGTCTGTCCGCTGCGCGTACTTGCAGAAGCATGCAGCTCTCACGCCCACCTACGCGACCGAAGTCTGCCCCAGCTAATGACGATCTTTGAGCACATGGCGCCCGACGCACTTCCTGGCACTGTCTACCTTGCGTGGTTGGGCGTTGGCTGCGTCTCGCCTTTGGAACACGTATGTGCCGATGTGGGCAGGCAATGAAAGCAACCGTGTCGTCCAGGTGGTGGCGGTGGCCACGCGGCTGCTGGTGCTGCTTGTAGGTCGACTTCGCGACGTTGATGGCTTTTTGCAGGCGGTAGGAACGTTCCTTGGTGACTTGAAGCTCAAGTGCGTGTAGTTGCCTGACGTTCTCGCACAACTGCTGCATCGCTTGGGCGATGGCTCCAGCGCCATCCGCAACCTCGCGGCCAGCGCGCTTCTTCAGGTCTTGGATCCATACCATTGGCGGTGTCTCGAACGTGGTGTGTCGTAGCTGGCCCAGCCGTCGCACGTCGACGCACCCGTCGTTGTGGCTGCCATTAAAGACTACGTTGAGCAAACTGCCAGTGTTCACTGGCGTGTCCTCTACGGGCTCTTGCGGGTTGTTATATCATCCCCCTTCCTCTTCTATGGAGTTGAGTACGTAGCTTTCGACCATGCTACTCGGTGACTTCCATAGCGTCACAAGCAACGACCTGACTGTGCGATCGATCGCCCCGTGCGAGCGCTGAGCCGTCCATTGTGTGTAGGTACTGATGCCCTTTTTTTCGCGCCACAGTGCCTTTGGCCATGCTGTGCAGCAAGTGGCCGACGCCGCCGACCAGCTGGTTGTCACGATCTACCACGTACTCGTACACGGGCGAGAAGAAAGCAGATTGGATTGATGTCTCTGCCTGTAGGAGCTCGGAAGCGCCTGTGTCGAACCTTTCTTGGATGCCAACGAGTGCGCCCGCTACGAAGCGCTGGTGCTCGACGAGTGGGGCCCACCCCATTGACATCGACTGCAGTAGTAGCAACGACGAAGCGTCCTTTGTCCGCTAGAGCAACAGCACTTTGTTAGGAGATTCTACACCCTTTTTTATCCGGTGTTTCTTTCGACGACGCCTTGCGTGCTTTAGTGACGACTTGATCGACGACCTTGAGTGTACCGATCTTGTCTTCGGCGGTGATCTGCTGCGGTGACTTGGTCGATACCTCGTTGGTTGGTGTGACTTGGTTCTTCTTGACCGACTTGGCGTCCTTGGCTGGCTCGTTTGGCTTGGCGACGACGCTGGTTTCCGGGAATACGACGCTATTTTCCGCTACGACGCTGCTTTCGACGGTACCTGCGGTCGCAGAGGAAGGTCGACCCTCGTCATCTCGCATTGGCAGCACGGGCGTTGACGCTGGATCGGCGATGAAAGGAATCGGAGCGTCCTTGGCTCCGGCGTCCGGTCGGCGCACGTCAGAGCCTGTTGTCGGCGCCATGGTCCTCGCCTCGGATGCTAGCGCCATCAGGACGGGAGGCTGCTCGACTTGTGTGTCGCCTGTAGCAAGCTCTTCTGGCTCGAAAGGCGCGACAAGCTGTGTCGTCGCAGTGTCTTTTGGCTGGACGACAGGTCCTTGCCGCGACGCAAGGGCCATACTTGCTAGTACGTCTGGCGCGCATACAGTTGGGAGCACGAGCTCTTGGTTGGACGGCACTTGATTACGCTCTCGCCGCTTCTCCACGCTGCCAACGAACGCGACGGACCCTTTCTGGAGCCGTGTGTCAAAGCCGTCGAGAGACTTTTCGTCGAGGACATAAGTGCGCAGCTGCGTCGGCAAGCCATGCAGTCGTGCATACGTCTCGACATGCGCTGTGAGCCGGTGGAGCTCCATCGTGTCAAAGGGGAATTTGCGAAACAGTGGCACGTGGGCCTCCACTTCGAGCGAGACCGCGAGCGCGTCCTGTTGCGACAGCGCCGAGAGGAGCGTGAGGCACTCGAGAGCGGTGCCGCTCACATCCGCACTCGCATCGTTCACATGCGCCTTCATATAAAATTGCATCTCGGCCATGAGCGGCTTGTTCTTGGGTAGCGGAATGTCGGCCGCGGCAAACGTGTAGAGCAGATCCTGCAGACACTTGAGGCCGAGGAGCGTCTCAAAGGTCGACGCTTCCGCGTGTTGCGTGCTCTGCCACGTCGCCTCCAAGACGACGTCGGCGATATGGCGCTGCTGCACGAGGAAGCGCAGCGTCCGAATGCACTCTTCTCGTAAGAGCGTGTTGAACTTGGCGCAAAAATGCAATAGTTGGCGGGTGATGGAGTGCACGAGCGGCCGCAAGACGCCGCGTCGAAGGCCGTAGGTGCCAAACGAAGACGTCGCCTCACTGGGCTTCTCGAAGATGGAGCGCACGAGATGCAAGAGCGCGAGGATGACGGGCACCGAGCTATCGTGCAGAAGGATCGCGTCGAGGTAGACGCTGTACATCTCGTAGAGTGTCTCGGTGTCAAAGGTGGGCAGTAGCACGGCGATGTGCTGCTCGGCAATCTCGACACACGCCCGCCGCACGCGCCAGTTACTGTGGACGCTGGCGTGGACAAAGACGGCCCCAAACATCGTGTTGAGAAAGCTTGTCGTCGCCGGTAGTAGCGCCGGCCGAGACACCGTCGTGTCACTGCCCTTGACGGGGCTATGGCCTGGGTCGTCACGAAGCCAGGCGCGAATTGCCAGATCAAAGATCGACTCCATGCCATGAGCGCGATCGGGATCGACATCCTTTGGCACGTCACGGGCCAACTCGTCTTGCGCTTGAGCTTGAGGTGGTGGTGAGGGCTGGCAGCTTGCAAAGGCACTTGCGATCGCTCGCTCGCGGGTCGTATGTAGCGCCGCCATGGCCTAAGACACCGAGATCGAACCATGAACTACGATATGGAGGGTGCATTTACCTCATGGTAGGTCAGCGCTGCGTCGTAATCTTCGTTGCCAATCGCGGCCGTTTTGAGCCGGGATAGTGACTGCATTTGCTGTCCGAGACTCGAGAGCGACCGAATGTGCTCGGTTAAGATCTGCGCGTCAGCGTACGCTTCACTGGCGATGCAGTCGGCCTTGACGAGGAGGACGCTCGCGATGGCCTTGCGCGTGTACTCGTCGACCGCAGCCGGCGGCGCGCCAAGGTCGGTCACCACGTCCATGGGCACACCCGTCTCAAGAAGCGCGCGCTGGATGGACGCCATCGAGACCTTTCGAGCCACGGTGGCTTGTGCTCTCGTTTCGTTCCCAGCAGGCTGCGTCATCTCGACACCGAGCAGATCCAGCTGCATGATGGCCACCTACGTAGTACGGCATAAAGAAATGCAAGGGCATCGGATGAATGGACCTGGTTGTAGACATTTCTGGAGCGGGGACCGTGGAGAATGAGCTTGAGCACGTTCAGCGGTTCGTGGACGTCGACGCGCATTTCCTCGGCGCCGTCCACCGACGTGGCTTCGCGCCACTCGACCGTGCTACGCAAATACTAAGGAGAACGAAATAGTTGTTCATATCGAGTAGGATTGATACCAGAGGGGTCGGCAGTCGGTGCTAAAGTACACGTGCAGCGGCAGGTCGTCGCGGGCCTCGGGCGAGGCCATGTCGAGATAATGCGACGCCACAACCGAGTCGTCGCCAATCAGGAGCTCCACTACCAAGATGCAATAATTGGCTGGTTTCCGATTATTGCAAGTACCTCTGGAGGGCGCGTACGCGCTGTGTGTTGCGATGCGGATCGTCTTGATGTAGGCGCGCTGGGGCAAGCAGAGACCGAGCTCCTGCGGGTAGCTGCACGACTTGGCCGAGACCCACTCCAAGCCTGTCGGGGCTTGGTTGGCCACGCGGCAGTAGTCGTCAATAGGGCTTGGGTACGACGGCGACCTGTCCATGGACGAGGCATGCACACGCTCGTGGCGCACCCGCGACATTGGCATCTTGCGCTAAGACGGTCGGTCGTTTCAGATGCGGCCGCCGTCGCTATTCCTATTCTGGCACTAGACGACCCTGCAGTAGGACAGCGCGGTGCCAAACGTGCCTCTGTCTCTCAATTGTGGCAGGCGTGTGCGAGATACTCTTACCTCGGTGAGCTTGCTCCTCCTACGCGCTTATTTGTTCAAGCGCGACACCTTAAGCGTCCGAACTTGGTTTCCGTGGTCTCGAGAGGTACTCAGGACGCAGATATCTCTTGTCTCATTTCTATCGCAAATCCAATGCTGTCGTAGCGAAGGCATGCATCGAAACTAGGTCGCCTTTGGATCGAGCCGGAGACTTGCTTGTCATTAATACCTGCCATAATGCATATCCATCGTCAGAGTATATATTGCTAGAGGTGAAATCGGCGTCGCTGATTGGTGGTTATTCGGACAATTGGGATTTTTGGCTGGTTGGCAGGAATGGCTGTTGGAGATTTTTTCAGTGTGTCATTTTGATATTGCAGCACCCGTAAGATGCGTATCCACACGTGCTACTTCTGCTCGAGCCCCGTGTACCCTGGCCATGGCATGGCCTTTGTCCGCAACGACTCGAAGGTCTTCCGCTTCTGCCGCTCCAAGTGCCACCGCAACTTCAACCGCAAGCGCAACCCGCGCAAGGTCAAGTGGACCAAGGCCTTCCGCAAGGCGGCCGGGAAGGAAATGGCGCTCGATACGACGTTCGACTTCGAGAAGATTCGCAACCGCGCCGTCAAGTACGACCGCGACCTCGTCGGCGCGACGCTCCACGCGATGGCGCGCGTGCAGCAGATCAAGGAGAAGCGCGAGGCTGCGTTCTACAAGAACCGCATGAAGGACTCTAAGGCCAAGCAGAAGGCCCGCGACGTGGCCGAGATCGAACAGAACATCAGCTTGATCAAGCCCGAAATTGTCTTTGCCAAGGAGCGCGCCCAACTGAACGCGGCCGACAACGAGCGCGTGACCAACGCTGTCGGCGGCGACGAAGGCATGGAGATGGAAGACTAAATCTTCGTTTCTAGCCGTGTATTTCATTAATATAGTCTCCATAATTTTGACGCTATGAGGCTACACAGGCTCGGCGTTCTCGACGTCGTGGTCGCTCGGATTGATTCAAGTCGGAGGACGATGATTATGCCTGCGTTGTTGGCGCCAACGCGATGGGGTCGATACAGCCTCCTATATGGTGCGTTGCAGATCCGCACGACCGTATTACCTCTACCCAAATGATCTCTACCTGTGTGCAATCGCATGTGGCTGACCTGTCGAGAACCTGGTTGTTGTCTGCGCCAAGGGTCGCTGTCGTTGCCGCGGGCGTGTTCCTGCTCTCTGGAGCGCCGGAGCAAAGCCGGAGCGACAGTGCCGATTTGTGATTGGTTGAAAATCGAATAATACCAAACGCCGAGCTGATTGGTCGATATCCAAGTTCCCATCGAGCGGCGATAGCGGCAAGTCCACGATGCCCCGGTACTACTGCGACTACTGCGATACCTACCTCACCCACGACTCGGTACCTGCATCTGCGCCGGCGCGCTCTCACCTTCCTCCTCCATGGGCGTAGCAAGCTGGGCGCAAGCAGCACAACCGCGGCTGGAAGCACCGCGAGAACGTCAAGCTCTACTACGAGGCGATTGTCCAAGGCAATGGCGCGACCATGACCCGTACAGCGGCTCGTTTTTCGCATGGCCTCATCGATCTGCACTTGTAGCTGGCGCCTGGCTGCGCCCGGATGCGATGCTGCGTGGCCCGCCGCGGCCGATGATGCCAGTGGGCCTCGTGCGGCCCATGGGCATGCCTGGCATGCCGCCGGGGATGCCTGGGATGCCGCCGCCGGGCATGCCTGCCTATGGCATGCCGCCGGGTCCTATGATGATGCGCCCCCGCCGCAAGGTAGACGTTGGCCTGCTACTGTGACTGACGCCATTTAGGGTTCCCGCCGCGTGGCCCGCCGCCGATGATGCCAATGCACATGCGCCCGCCACCGCCGATGCAGTACCAGCCGCCCCAATAAGACCAGTAGAGTGGAAGAGTAGTGCTTGCTCCCTAAGATCCTCATAACCTTTGATTAACTTAAAAAAGCCACGACAACCCGACCAATGCAGTTTGTACCACACGCACAACGTAGTGTCTACTTGGCGGTCGGCGTCGTTCCGTCCTTCTTGAGAAACATGTTGTATGCGACGGCGAGGATACCGAGTAGAATCACGAGGCAGATGAAGTCCATCATGCACTTGTCGCCGCTGCGACCGACTTGGGCGAGCGTCTTTTTCATTTTGAGATTGAGATTCTCGACTAGGCCAACCTCAATCGTGCCCTCGTCGTTGTCAAACATGCAAGCCTACCGGTCGCTTGGGTATTGTCGATGCGCTCTTCGAGTCCCGTGAGCATCATGTTTTGCTTTTGCAATTCCTAGCCGCATGGACGAGAATAATGCCATGCAAGCATGCCAAGATCATGTCGTACCTCGTTCAAGCCGCGCGCCAAGACCCCGAGCTCCATGACACCGGTGCCGATTTGCTCGACCATCCCATCCTACGGCAATCATGGCTGGAACATGCGAGATAGGACTTGAGGCGTCGTACGATGTGCTGGTCCTTTTGTTCAATCTGAAGCATAATATCGCGGTGTTCGCTCGTCACTTCCTCTTCCTGGTAGCTCGGGCCACCACCGCTTGCATTGTGGACACCGGCGCTGCCACTGGCGGTCCGGTCGGCAAAGCCCGCAAACTCGGTCGTCGTTGTCGCCGACGGGATGCCAAAGAGGGCGGCGCGGTCAAAGCCAAGCCCACCGCCTGGCGCGCGCAAGCCCGGACTGGCCTTGACGTACGCGCTTGAGGCTTGCTCCTTGATGAACGCGAGCTCCGACGTGTACTGGTCCACAAAGTCCTTTCGGATCGCGAGCTCTTCGGGCGAGAATTTGCTCTAGATAGATGGCCATGATCAACCATGTTGCTCCATGACAGCGCCCACACCTTTTTCTTCTTGGTCTCGGCCTCGTAGCACTCGGCCATCTCGGCGAGGTCTTCCTCAACGAGCCGGATGTCGTCGCGTACGCCTTGCTGCTGCTTGATTTTCTCGCGCGGATGTTGTGGCTTCTTGGCCGAGATAGGCTGGGCCATCTCGGTGAGCGACTACGCCACGCATGACCACCTCGCCCATGATGCGGAATGCGTCGTCGTACGATCTTGAGGCCATGAAGCCGGTCGCTGATCTTGATGCGGAGCTCGCCGAAGCGGTCGGCGGCCTTGGCGCGGTCCTTCCGCGTCTCTTGGCCGCCCATCTCGACATTGATGTGGGCGAGCTTCTCGAGGAGCGCGTCGACCTCTCTGCTCGACATGCTGGAGGCTAAAGACGGAATAGCAGCATGGCCGAAACGCTTTGTGTCAAAAAGATTGCAACCCAACGAAACGGACATTAGGTTTTAGTCGTTCTACCTACGGTTAAACAGGTTGAACCGCGAGCTGTACCGAGTCCGAGCATCGTCTTTTGTCTCGTTGCATTCTGGTTATCAAATTGAGCTCACCACCACATCTAAAAAGCTCACAAACTCGGTACCAGTGCCTTGGTGCACATAGACTGTCAAAATCGGAGCTCTTCAAATGGGGTCCTGCAACCTATTGTCACTCGGATACATCAGCACGGTCGTTGTCGTTGAGGGCTGGAGCAAGGTCGCAGCGTTGCTGGTGAAGCATGCGTCTCTCTATGAGTAGAAGAGCCATGGATGCGGTCACCACGAGCGCTATGGTGCTCTCAGGTTCTGGCTGGTATGACCATGGAGGTGATAAAACCGAGTTGAACTCGTTGACGTTTTAGGAGGTTTTCCCTCGATCCGAATTACATAAATAAATTACATATTTTTCCTTGCATAGTCAAATCCAGTGTACATATAAAATAATACAACAAGGACACTGAATTCGGATCCGAACCTCGCATTAGGCCGTGCCAATCATTCTTTCCGATGGCTCCGAAATTGAGCCCGCAGGCGCTGGCGCATCGGCTTCTGACCTTTGCCGACGAGGCGGCGATCACCAAGTTCTTGGCCGAACAGCCCGTTGCATTCGACGAGCCGAACGAGCAAGGCTGCACGCTGCTCATCACCGCCTGCGCCTTTGGTGCGACCTCTGCGCCTCTAGCCGCCTTCTAACACCATGCTAGATCGCGCCGAGCTCTTGCCGTTTCTGGTCGCCAAGACGACCGACTATACGGCCGCGACGCATGGGAATCTCAACAACGTTTTGCACTTTGCCGCCTTGTCGCCGCACGTACGGTACCCGCTGCGCGCCTCCTCGCTCACCAAACAGTGTAGCCGACCGTCATGACGACGCTCTTGGCGGCGAATCCACTTGCGTTCTCGCGGCTTCTCAACACTGGCAACGCCAACGGCGACACTCGTACGCTCTGCATCTTTCTTGCAGGCGCACGTATTGACAGATGCATGTAGCACTCATGGTGGCCTGCACGGCCAAGCACGTCGACGGCGCGTTGGCCTTGCTCGGCAGCGGCGCCGACCCGACGGTCGCCAACCAATCTGGCATTACAGCACTCATGTGCGCCGCCCGCCTCGACGAGACCGAGCCCGATACTGCCGAAGCGAGCTCGCGCGCCTTAGTGACGGCCTTGCTGCCCGGTATGACCGCCAGCGCACTGGACGCAGTCAACAGCACCGGCCAGTCAGCGCTGCACTTTGCAGTCCAGAGCCGCAACACGGCAGTGATCCTCGCGTTGCTCCAAGGTAGTATGCTATTTTTTGTAGTAGTTAGTAAGGTTGAACATGTTTGTAGCGGGCGTCAATGTCGGGCTGCGCACCAAGGACGGCTACACGGCGCTTGAGATCGCGCAGGCCGCGCCGTACTTTGATGCGGATGCGCTTCTCGCGATGGAAGCTGCGTGGAGAGCGCTGGAGGCGCAGCTGGAGGCCGACCTCCTGGCACTCGCCAATGACGAGCCCACGCCGGCGCCGAAAACGTCCAAGAAGAAGAAAAAGGCCGCAAAGAAAGGTGCCAGAGCCACGCCCGCCGCGATCAACGTCGAGCCAGCGACGCCGATCACGTCATCC